CCACATAGACACATTTGTAAACAAATGTTAATTCTCGGTTTTAAAAATCTTCTAATGTTCGGAAACATTATTTGAAAAATATTAGCTGATTAAAGTATAATTAATGGGATTTGAAAAAATAGTATTTTCTTTAAGTATGAATAACAGAGAAATTATTATTTTCTGATTATGTTGTGTATGGTCACCTGTAATTTCAAACAGAGGGACGTTACGTATATACAAAACATATTTAATTTTTTTTTTAAATATTGGTTGTAAAGGAATTAATGAGTTTTTCAATTGTTGGTAAATATAGTTTTATTATTGTTATTTTTATGATCGTTATTAATATTATTATTGTTATTATTTTTTATTTATTATTACTATTATTATTATTATTATTATTATTATTATTAATATCATGTGTGTATGTTATGTTTCCTTCTTTGTATCCTGTAGAGCCGGGTCCAAACTATGGTCCTTAGGCCCTATAGGAAAAATTGTCATTTAATTGATAGCACTTTTCTTAATATAAGGGATGTTCCCAGTAGAACGATGTTCTGGGCAAATTGTATGTTGATGTTGCATGGGACAATCTTAGTAAAATTGTTCATTCCTTTTCTCACGAGTCCCACTTCCCGATTACTTTTGCTACTGGTTCATTTTTCAGTCATCACATCCTGTTCATCTCGATATCCAGGTTCTTCCTTGTATTTGGACAATTTCTCTTTAATTTTCGTGGAGGTATTTCTTTCAGATGGTACTGCTATACCAGTAAGCATACATTTCCTGAATGTTTTGTCTTTTATGCTAATATCAGTCCTGTTGGCATTTATTTCCCTGTCAGTTTGAATTGGCATCTTTCAAAGGATAGTTACATCGTTATTTTGAGTAACTGAGTCTGGTTGGTGGTCATACCATCTCTCAGTGGTTTCCATTTTGTACTTCTTGTATATCTTCCAGTGCATATATATCGCTATCTTGAATATAACCACAGACATAAGTCTGTGGGTATATTCATTTCTCGCAAGTTCCCAATATACTGAGATAATATGGTCGATAGTTTCATCATATTTTCCACAGATTCTGCATTTCGGGTTAGATCATCCTCGATTATGTGACACTGATTGCATTTGGCTGTGTGTTTGCAATATATTAGACCATCTACCTCAGCTTTCAACCCGGTGCTCCACAGACACTGATGTGCTTTCTGTTGGTCCAAATCTGCTTCTTCTATTTTTTTTAATACTTTCACTGCTACTCATTTGCCCAGTCCTGCCCCCATCCGGCCGGCCATTATTAAAGAAAATGCCATATTTCAACCTACATATTTTATCACACAGAAAACTGGCACCAGTGTGTTTTACAGCCTTCCATTTTCATGGATATACCTGGGAATGACTTACCAGATTAGTAATGGGTATACACATGATATCTTTTGAAGCATTGTCCTTTGTGATTTTACGATAGATGGCGCAACAGGACACTCATACCAGCGGTATGCAAAAAAAAACGTAGGTTTCCGTACTTAGCCAGCTGGAGCAAGATAAGAATAACGAAGATCTACGTAGTTAGCAGCGGAGGTGTTAACTATTTGCCATGCAACGCATTTTTCTCCCAGTTTTTTTTTTTTTTTAAATTCCATTCGGCGTAGATGGTATTCGATTCGTTTTTTGCTGGTAGAGTTTCAGGTATATTGAGCTGTTTCATGAAGAGTGCAGGTTCCTTGTTGATAGAGTGGAATTGTTGTTTTACTGTTTGTAGGAGAGGATCATTGTTTTTTGTGAGGTATGCTTCGAATCCGATTATTGTATTTTTTCGTATTAGTTCCACTTGGATTAGACCACGTACTCCTAAAACTATTGGTACGTCCAGCCTACCAACATCTTATTTCTGGTGTTGCATCCTCATTTAGGTAAGTATTCTTCTGGACATCGTGTCCCGCCTTTTAATGTCATTCCACTTCCAATTAATAATGTTGAAGCTGCATGTTACTACGGCCATAGATAAGGTGTTGATAGCCTTCATTTTATTAGCTTCATTAAGTTCACTTCTTCGTATCAAACGCACTCTCCTATAATATTCTTTTCGGACCTTTATCTTCATAACTGAATGTTGTATTCCGCCTCTTTCATCAATTACTAAATATCTGTATCTAACATCTTGGTCTCGTACCTTAACCTTGTTTTTGATATAAAGGTCTAAATTGTCGTTAGTTTTTGAAGGTAGCTTTTGCACATTTGTCGATTCCGAAGTCCAACCTATTGTCTTTGCTGAAGGTTTTGATTATGATTGGTGGTTTTCATGCGTGGCAATCGTTTTAAGATTATCAATATAGAATAGTTGATTCAGTTTGCCATTCTGTGACTCGTGTACGTAAGTGCTGTTGTGAAGTAGACAGCTGACTGGCTCTAATGCAAGGCAGAAATGTCGTGTTGATAATAGATGTCGTGGTACATGAAGTTTTTGATGTTGATTGGTCTCGGTGTTAATGACACGTTTGTATGGTTTGTGCTTAGTGTAGTCTTCCTTTTTCTTTTTCTGTTCTCCGTAATGAATTTGACAGTTTTTGGGAATACTCTGCATATTTTAGGCTCTTCTGTATCCATCAGTGACGTACACTGTTGAACGCTTTTCTGTAGTCGATCCATGATATCGATAAGTTTCTTGCCCCTTTTTTTTTTAAACTCTACCAATATTGTCCTTGCACCCGTAATCTCCACTTTTACATCTTTTCTGTTTTGCTGGGAGTAAATTTTTTTCTCTGGGAAGTAATATGACGTCATTATTATTATTATCACTATTATAGCATTCTTTCGCTCTTGGGGTCAAATCTTTTAATGTCATAATATATTTTTATTAAAGCAATTAAAATTTTTGTAGATTAATATATATGTATACTTGAAAGAATTGAACGTGAAGAAGACAAACATTCTGTTGGAATACTGTTTAACATTGTCAAACAATACGTTTTTGTTTCTTTTCTTAAATTGCGCTCTTCTGTTAACTGTTGAAAAATATTGGAAGAGTTACATTATTTACATTATTCGGACTATTGTCCTCATCTTTGTCTCCATATTTATTACAACGTTTCGGCCGTTGTACGCTCCGGCATTCTTCAGGTGGTTGGAATGTCTAACTGAACCCCTTGTTTCGCTCACAGGGGTAGACTGCTCTAGCTCCACGTGCCATGTTTAATGGATGTCAGTTATCAGTTATCTCCTGTTAATTTTCCCTCTGAAAGTTCTCCACTGCGTTAACCGGGTATTGAACCCAAACTCTTTGGGTTCTGTCACTGGTTCTAACTAACGCCTTTATACACTGTGCCATGTGTCCTTAAACATGGCACGTGGAAATAGAACAGTCTGTCCTAGTGAGCGAAATGAAGGGTTCAGTTCGACAGTCCAACCACCTGAAGAAGGCCAGAGCGTACAACGGCCGAAACGTTGTAATAAATGTGGCGAGAAAGATGAGGACAATAGTACGAATAATGTAAATAATGTACATAATTATAAATATAGACAGATACTGGAAGAGTTACGTCAATCAGTTTTTTATTACTATTGTTATTATTATTATTATTATTATTGTTATTAATATTATTATTATTATTGTTATTAATATTGTTATTATTACTCTTATTATTACTGTTTTGTTATTATTATCATTAATTATTTTTTTTAAATTTCAGTCTTTTTAGAATTTTTAAAATTTATTTTTGCATTGTCTTAGGTGTTTTTATTTCACTCTTTTAACTAACGCCTTTATCCACTGTGCCAGGTGTCCTTGAAGTTTTTTTTTTCAGCCAAAATATATTGTCAGACATTATTTGCCAATAAATCTAATTAAACACCCCTACTTTAATCACAAAAAAAAAAAATTATCCGACTTTTACGAATAATTGATCATAGACAGCGTACGAGATCGAGTTTACGTCCATCTTGGAAAGCCAAACGAGTTTGACAACAATGGCGCAGACTAACATTTCTCATACATAACTAAACTCTATAAAACTGTAATACTAATTGCAAAATTTTTGTGTATATTTCTGAGATGAGGTGTTATGTACACTATTTACATTATACGGAAAATTGTCCTCACCTTTGTCGCCATATTTATTACAACGTTTCGGCCGTTGTACGCTCCGGACTTCTTCAGGTGGTTGGAATGTCAAACTGAAACCCGAAACATTGTAATAAATATGGCGATATGGAGATGAGGACAATAGTCCGAATAATGTAAATAGTTTACATAATACCTTTATCCATTGTGCCATGTGTCCCTTGAAGAAAAATGTTTTCACCCAATATATATTTTCTGACAGTACTTGCCAATAAATTAATTAAACACTCCTGCTTTAGTCACAAAAAAAATTATCCGGCTTTTACGAATAATTGATCATAAACAGTTTACACATCAATCCGCCCATCTTGGAAAGCCAAACGAGTTTGACAACGATGGCGCAGACTAACATTTCTCATACATAACTAAACTCTATAAAACTGTAATACTAAATGCAAAATTTTTGTCTATATTTCTGAGATGAGGTGTTATGTACACTATTTACATTATACGGAAAATTGTCCTCACCTTTGTCGCCATATTTATTACAACGTTTCGGCCGTTGTACGCTCCGGACTTCTTCAGGTGGTTGGAATGTCAAACTGAAACCCGAAACGTTGTAATAAATATGATGATATGGAGATGAGCATACTAGTCCGAATAATGTAAATAATGTACATAATACTTCATCTCAGAAATATAGACATATACTGGAAGAGTTACGTCAATCATTTTTATTACCATTGTTATTATTAATATTGTTATTATTATTATCATTAATTATTTTTTTAAATTTCAGTCATGCATGATCGCTTTTTTAGAATTTTTTAATTTATTTTTGCATTGTCTTAGGTGTTTTTATTTCACATTTTTGTGATTTCAAAAATTCTTTTGTCCATATATTTTTCTTCCTTTTCTTCGATATCACTTTTTTCTTTATTCGTGTCGTTTCAACTAGAATGAAATTACAGTTTTCCATCACTGCTTTGTCGTTCTTTGTGATTTCTTTACGTTATTTGAGAACAAAATTAATGGTTTTCTTAACATCATTCAAGTCTTTATTGGCCCGTTTATTAGTTTTAGGAGTAGTTTTAATTGATTACGTTATTTTGTGTTTCTCATATTGTATCTATACTTGTTAGTCTTTCAAGCGCCTTTTTACTTTCAGGTTTCTTTCATAGCATTTCATTTTTTTTCCTGTTGAAAAGTTCGTAAATGTCTTTCATTTTAGTGTTGCTTACCCCTTTTCTAATTTCTTCATATCCGATATTCATTTTATTTATATTTCTTTCATATTTTCTATTCTTTGTATTTCCTTTCTTTCTTTCTTTCTTTCTTTCTTTCTTTCTTTCTTTCAGCTTTTGTTCATAAGTATACCGGTTCATATATATTTAGAGGTGGTACTTTGCTGCTTTTTTTTATTTCCAATGTTACATAATTGATTAATCTGCTCATTTTAGGCTTTTTTTTTTCTGTTTCTTTCTCTTTCACGTCCTCTCTCTCTCTTTCTCTGGCTTTTTCTTTCTTTTTCATTATCATTTTTCATTTCTTTCTTTCTTTCTTTCTTTCTTTTGCGCCTTTCCTCTCTTTATTTCGTTTCATTTTATTTTTCTTTCTTTCTCCTCTCTTTCTTTCTCTTTTTCTCCTTCTTTCTCTTTCTCCTTTTCACTTTCTTTCACTTTCTCATTTTCTCTTCCTTCCTCTTTATCCTTTTCTCTCTTTCTTTCTTTTTCACCTTTTCTTTTTCTTTATCCTTTTCTTTTTACCTCTTTTTCTCCCTCTTTTTTCTCTTCCTTTTCTTTCTTTTTTCTTTTTTTTTCTTTCTTTCTCTTTATTTTCTTTTTTCTTTCTCTTTATTTCTCTCTCTTTCTTTCACTATATTATTTTTTCCTTTCTCTTTGTTTTGATCTCTTTCTTTTTCTCTCTCTTTTTCCTCTCTCTATTTCTTTCTTCTGTTTCTTTGTTTCTGTTTGTTTCTTTCTCTCTCTTTTCGCCCCCTTTCTCTCTTTCTTTGTTTTCCCTATCATTTTTCCTCCCCCTTTATTTTTCGTTTTCCTTTGATGTTCATTTATTTGTAAAAGTTTTCCCCTAAATAACTGAATAATCCATTTAACAATCCAAATTTTCTTTTCCAAAATCTGATTCATTCCCCTCCTCTTCTATTTGACTTTCTTTTCCTTGTTCCCTTAATAGATTCATTTTCGAAAACATGCTTTTAATTTTCCTATAACAATTTTGACAACTTTTCCTTTCTGATTTGCCCTTTACCTTTTTATTTTTTTTTTATATATATATATTTCTGAAATTTCTATCCGACAGTTCTTCCCTCGACCAGAAGATTTCTTCATTCAGAAAATGGGCATCACTTTACACGGTTAACTTGGTATACTTAATAGATTCTGTGTAATGCCCCAAACGGAATGCATTTTGACAAATATCAAGCCAGTTTTCTATGTCCGGGTTCGGTATTGAATTGCTTCTTTCTGGGTTCTTTACATACCTCAAGGCCAAACGGGAGATTAAATTGAAGTACGGAGACCGAAAAGAAGGAGTGTACCAGAAAAAATAAATAAAAAAAACCCCAAAAAACACACATTTACGTATCTTTAAATCGGGCTCTCAAGCCTGAGATTATCCCTGAACTCGAAACAGAGTGAAATTTAGGTTCTTTTTTCTTTTTCTTTTTTTAATTTATATTCCTTTTTAGGATTTAAATGATCAAATTCATGTATGAGTGGCCAAAACTTCTTAGTACATATAGTGAATTTTCCCCGTTGATTTATTAACAGTTTTCAGAATTTTTATTCTACGATTCTCCCCCCTCTCTCTCTCTCTCCCACTCTCTCCTTATCTCTATATCTCTCCCCCTCTCTCTCCATCTCTCCCCCTCTGTCTCTCCCTCTATCTCCATCCCTCTCCCTCTCCCACTCTCTCCCTATGTCTATCTCTCTCCCCCTCTCTCTCCATCTCTCCCCCTCTGTCTCTCCCTCTCTCCCTCTTTCATTCTCTCCCCCTCTCCCTCTATCACTACCTCTCTCTCTCCCTCCCTCTCTCCCTCCTCTCTCCCTCTCCCCTCTCTCTCTCTCTCACACACACACACACACACACTCACTCTATCTCTCTCTCTTTTCTGGCATAAATGTTCTACACGCTCGTTTGTCTTTTTATTAACCTCAGAGTGAAAAATCGTTTAACTTTTTGATAATTTATAGACGTTGGGGTACATCATGCATGTTCGAAAAAAAAAGGAATCTGACGGCATGTTAAAAAAACGAAAAAACAATCACAAATTGCTGATTGACTCTGTTGTTCATCAGAATAGAATCAATTTAAATACCGTGACCGTTTATTGAACAATTTGTTTATTGAATTACAGTACCCTGAAATTCTATTCGTTTTACGTATTGAAGTATACATCAGTTTATTTATTCAATAATCATTTGTGAAGTAAAACGACTTTCTATATGTGACACGATCCACGAAGAATCGGCGTATTCAACATTTGATAATTTTGTGGCAATACGCGCTTAAATGTTTTGAATAACGAGTTCTAAATGTAGGATTACCTTTCATTTAAATAGAATAATAACAATAATAATATTTATTAAGAAATATAAAGTATTACAAAAACATTATTGAGAATTATGAATTTAGTTACATAAGAAATAAATAAAAATAATATAAATGTTGATGCAATATTACATTTTTTTGTTAGGTATTTTTCATTTTCTCATTTGTTAGTGGCAGCATTTTAAAATGGCTGCAATGCTAACCTAAGTTGAACATACTAGAGCTATTTCCGTTAGGCTTTGTTACCTCTCTTTTCCATTGTTGTTTATAGATCGCTTTCTTCCAGTTATTTTGATGGGAAATAGCGGAATTCTGAAATTTAGAATGATATAATTCCATTTCAAAAATAAAGCCTGTGAAAAGGAATATTTCAAAATAATATACGAACAAAAATAAAATGCTTTTGATAAAAATCTTTAATGATTTCAATATAATTACGTAACAATAATGTAATAATATTACGCAGAGAAATCTAAGGTTTATGTTAACAGATCTCATTGTATGGTTTCGAACTATGAATCTAAATTGAGCTTGTAATATTGTTCAGTTGTTCTAATTTTTTAATACTCGCATAGGATTTTATGAATAAGCCATTTTCGATTTTTGTTGAATACGACCATCCTCCGCCGAACATATACTCCATTATAAGCGGAATCCTTGTATAGTGTAAAATGTTTTATAGAAATCTTTTGGAGAACAGATGATAGACAGGGTGAAATCAAAGAATAGGGAGGGTGATCAATAATTTCAAAACCACAGTCAAAAAAATCACCCATTGAATCTGTAACGGGATTGGTTTACCTAAATGTAATTAGTATACAGAGAGCTATTACTCTAGCTCACGGGCAACCTTGAGTTGGTGTACATAAAATATCTACGACTACTGAGTTGGATAATCATATCAAAATAGCGTCTTCTGACAGAGCTATGTTGAACACAAGAGAACCTGAAAACGTAAAGATCTAGATAAAATGCTTTGTACCAAGTGCCAGAATAAGAGATAACCAAACACTTGAAAGACAGCGAGAAATCATGGATCTAATTTTGGCCACCGTGGGATGCAAAATCATTAGACAGATTTCGTTAATGACTTACCCGGCTGAAATTGAAAACTTGACATTTAAAGAAATCCAAGAAATAATATTGCAAAATATTCAACCATATAAATGATTGGTCATAGCTGAAAGAACCAAATTCTGAGCATTGAAACAAATATTTGCGGAGTCTGTAAGGAAATATCTAAGAAGGTTAAGTGACACTTGTAGATATTGCGAATTTCATGAACTAGAAAAATAGGGAATAAGCACAGAGGAAGAATTAATTCAACTCTAATTGTTAGAAGGACTGTATAACAACTCTTATAGAGTAAAACGTTCAAGAGGTTACAGATAAATCAAATGATTTTAGAAGCTTGTATTGACTTCATACAACAAAAGGAGTTAAGTGAAAAATTCAATACAAGCGAAAACAACTTGAGCTTATAGACACATGTGCGATAAAAAGAACAATTATAAAATGCAGATATTCAACTATAAAAATGAACCAAAGAGATAGACATGTCCGGCATGGGGACAGACATGTAATAAATTCAAAAAAGAAAAATCACTATTAAGTTATATGTAGACGGCGAGATACCAATGTAAAAACTGTCGAAATAATACAGGACTATGTAAAACGTCAAACAAACGTTTTTTTTTCACTGTTTACATTAAGGAGAAACAAAAAAAAAACACCTTCACGAATATTAAATTAAACGGTGTAGACTTAAAAATGCAAGTTGATTCTGAACGCGAGCTGACCCTTATTCCGAAAAGTTTTTGGAACAGTTATCGAAACCAAAAGTTATAAGAAACTTATTAAGATAAAGACAGTTTGAGGGAACGTATATAAAAATATTAGGATCATTTCAAGATACTTTTGACACAAAAAATAGATTTGGAAATTTCATTATTAAGGTCGTACACTATATAAAAATCACAGTTTAGTAGGAACTGATTTGATAAATATTAAATACACACGTTTACTTAATGCTATGAATACGCGAAGTCCCGAAACTGGGACACTAAAAAAAACTATAAAGCAAGACTTAAGTTAAAAAGAAATATCAATCCATTGTATTTTCAAAGCCGTAGGCGTCCCATTCATATAAAGCCAATGGTAGTTGCTAAACTGCGCAAAATAGTGACAGAAAGCCTTCTTCAATATTTAGAACCTGGAGGTAACAAATGGCCATCGCCTATTGTGGTTTTAAGAAAACCTGATGATGATTTTAGAATTTACGGTGATTACGTGGGCGTAAATCATAAGGTTTGTTCAGATTTCTACCATATTCCAAATATAGAAACATGTTACATTCTCTGGCAGGAATGAAATATTTTACGAAAATTGGTTTTAAAAATGCGTAGCACCAAAATCAAATAGATGATGAATTTAAGTAAATCACAACAATAAACTCCCCCTCAGGCTTACTTAGATGATCACGCTTACTACATGGAAATAAGACAGCCAGCTGAATTTTCCAAAAAAGCTATGGAAAATTTGTTAGCGGGGAGAGTAGTAAATATGATAATTTATCAGGACAATATATGTTTAGGGGCGGCAAATGAGGAAAAGCTGAAACGAAAAACTAAATTTGTAATGGATCAATTGAGGAAGGCAAGGAATGACGATAAACGAAGATAAGTGTATATTTAATTGCAAAAATTGACGTACTTGGATTAACAAATTTCAGAAAACGGTACTTTTCTGGACCCGGCGTTAGTACAGAAAATATAAAATCTATCTTCTCCAACTAATAAAAAAGAAATGGTCTCATTTCGCGAATTAACCAATTTTTATACAGAATGCTTGATAGAATATTCTAAAAGAATTAGAGCCTTTTCTGAGTTCGGAGAGAAGAATAAAGGGTTTGAATGGACGCACCAAACAACCTTTATTAAATTATAAAAAAAGAGGCTCTATCTAAAAACTCGTTGTTCATGATCTTTTCCCTAAAAAGGACGTTACATTAACAACAGATGCAAGTTGCCAGTCTGTATCGGTAATTTTGTCTCAGGAGATACACTCAGCGATGTGTCTTCCCATGACCTTGACACCATCTGATTTGAACTACTCTAATAATGTAAAGGAAGCACTTTCAGCTGTATGGAGTATGACCTTAGCATGGCATCTTTTATTGGGGAAAATTTATTTAAAGAGATCCTATTATAAGCCCTTAGAATTTATATTCCATTCTAGGAAGGAATTGCCGAAAGTTAAACATCCAGAATATTAAGATGGGCTATAAAGTTAATGGCTTTTGTTTATGCTATACAATACGTAAAGGGAAACACGATACAACACGTAGACGCATTTTCCCAACTACAATTTGAAAAGAATACAACACAGCTTTAATATGCAAGAATGGTAGAAATATTGTTACCTATGCAGAGACGTTAAGAGCTAGACAAAATGACAAAGAAATATAAAGCGAAGTTCGAATGATGATGTAGATGAACAAGAAAACAGGTCAAACAAATCAATGGGCGATCAAGGTTCTTCGAAAGTCTCGGACTACAAAACATGGTACAATGAGAATAAAAGAACTAGATCAAGGTCCCCCATAACGAGAAATACTTTGGAAACCAGTGACATGGGTAGGGAATTTTAAAGAAGCCGTAGATCGACACAGGGTGTGAAATCCAAAAGATTCAGAGAGATGTAATGGGATTGGTTCAGCTAATAGTTAATTAGCATAAAGAGAACTATAATTATAGCTCACGGGCAACTTAGAGTCAGTGTACATAGAATATCTACGGTAACTAAATTAGCTCATTATAACACAAACCATGAGTGCTCTATATAAAACAAGTTTCAGATTCCACGGGGCTTTTGTCATGATCCTATATAGAACTCTCTTCCGGCTTCTTGATTACAAGTAAACATTGATCTTCAAAAATGTAAATGCAATTATTGCCTGTATTCTTAATTCTTGTTCTATTATTGTTCTTTCTCCTTAATAGTGTTTTGTTTATCATATTGTCTAATACTCAGTAATACCTTCCGGCTTAGTGGCCATTACCTTGGTCAGGATAAAGCGATTAAATAATCGTCATAGCAAAGATGATCCACATAACACATAATGAGCGTTGTAAGCATTTCAACATGCATGAATATATGTTACGACGTTTTCATGCCTCATATTTGACAGACAAAATTAATGGATCGCATTTCCATCTGCAATTCTTTGTTCATACGTAAAAGAAATTGTTTCTGTTATATTCACAATGATAGAGACATTGCAATATGTCCTCGTAATTCATGCAATTTTTTGTCTTTTATCTTTTTCACATCTTAGTAGAAGCAAGTCGCGCTTATCTGACAAGCACTGAAACTGGCTCTAAATAATTAGGATCTCAGCGGACCTTTTGAAGTGATGAAAATGAACGCAAAAGAAAGAAAATTTAGCAAGAAAATCTCAACCCACCTGGACGTATTAATCACATTTACATTATCTGCTACTCGAATCTACCTCTATGGTATACAGAAGGTTACGTCACAAATATACGCGCTGTAGCTATATTTCGAGATGACGCCTTTTTAATTTGCAATTAAACGCCATGCTTTCAATCAAGCTCTAAGGAATTGCTCAAAATATTAAAGATCAAAAGCAGTCGTATGAATGAAGTGTCATTTTCTTGTCTGATGATTTGTTATAAAGGCATTTTATTATTTCAAGTTTTATTTTTGAAACTGTCTTTTCGGTTTCCAAATAACTTTGATCTACAAAATTTTAAATTCAAGGTCGTTCGTTATCTACTGTCTACTTGATTTCTCTTTTTTTATTTTTCTCGATCATTAATAATGTTTTTCTTTTTCTTATTCTTTCACACTCACTAATCTAAGTGTCTAAGTGACTTTATTGCTTTGCAGTTGGTGGAATGTTTTTTTAAAAAAAATCCTACTTTCATCTTTTTTTCTCTACTGTGGATGAGATTTCTACAGTTCGAACTATCTACTGATGTATATTATTTACATTATTCGGACTATTGTCCTCATCTTTGTCGCCATATTTATCACAACGTTTCGGCTGTTGTACGCTCCGGCCTTCTTCAGGTGGTTGGAATTTCAAACTGAACCCTTTATTTCGCTCACTGGGATAGACTGTTCTAGTTCCACGTGCCATGTTTGATGGATGTCAGTTATCCGTTATCTCCTGCTAATTTCCCTCTGAATGTTGTCCACTGCTTTCACCGGGTATTGAACTCACTCTCTTTGGGTCCTCAATGGCACATGGCATAGTGGATATAGGCGTTGGTTAGGTCTAGTGACAGGAAAATCGCGCTGTGTTGAGGAAGAGCCCACGCCATCGTGACCAGCAAGAAGGCCGCCAAGCATCTCGTTTCCCTTTTTAACCATGTGAGCGAAGAAACGACGGAAGTGTCGCCCTTTCAGGATCGAGGATACCGAACGCGGCGAAGGCCGGAAAACCCTGACAGCAAAGAAGTAACCGAAGCGATGGCCGCCGGCGGCTTTGATTTTGTGATATCTGTAATAAGTAGGTTTTTATCTGGTGGGCATATCAGCTACAACCGCAAACGGTTTTGAATTAAAAGTTGCCATTCTCCTAAAGTGCTTGACAATGGAGGCTATAAAATCAACTAAGTCCTGGTATTATCCCTTAGGCGGTGTAGAGATAAGTTAATTTATTTTCAATTAATTTTTTTGCAAAAAAAAATGCAATGACCTCTACTGGAATTTTAATTCGGCATGTCAATCGCATATTTCGCGCCGAAAACCACATTTATTTCACTCCCAAGGACTTCATATTTAAATAATTGTTATATGTCTTAGATACCTTCCGGATTTCTTGAAACAAATAGTGCCTTTATTAGCTTTAGACTACTTCCTTTATGTTGCGTTTTCCTTAAGAACGTGGGCAGGTATGACTCAACCCAAATACCTGTCCTTTTTAGTTCTTAACAAATTTTTTTTTGCGTACCGTTTACAAAATCTCGTTACGCTTTTTTATGAGATCAGTATTTATCGATCCACCCACGAGGATAGAATGTGGCACAGGGCCGGTTTAATGTGGGTATCTCCGAGCCCGTAGGCTCGGCCAAAAATATACCATTTTTGAACCCGACTTGACGGATTCAGGCTCTGTCTACCTCCCCGAACGAAACCTTACCCTTCGGCAAAGCTTCGTCCGGGTTCCTCTCTGCTAATGCAAAGAGTTCGACAGACGCCGACTCGGAAGCTCACAAAGGCAGCGTACAACACTTTGATCATTAGCCTCCGGGCCCAGCAGTTTTTTTTATGAGGTGATTTCCTCATGAATGCAACATGTCCTGTGCGTGTTAAATTCCTTCCCTCTTTCCTCATTATGTCAACTGGCTCATTCTGGTTCAAGGCACAAGCGTCCTCTTAGTTTCTAACTCACTGTATTCTCAGAAGCAGATGACATTTCTGTCGCCTCTAGTCTCTTCTTCATTTGTGAGATTTCCCGGCATGCACTGTCATATAGAAGGACATCTATTAAATAAAAGCTCAGGAGTTTTTCTATTTTGTTTTCTTTTCTTTTTGCTACTATAGTATAAGTTCTAACCCAATTTCTGCTATGGTATGCGGTTTACCGCGCTATGAATTATATTGTGACCTCACCTCACCTTCGTTCTACCACGATGAATTCTACCATCACCTCAACTCACCTCTTGTGTGTCCACACAAAAGCAAGGAAATGGAGATCCTATATCAGAATCCCCTTTGGTCTGTAAGTGTTGACATCAGCTGATTAACCTACTTCAGATTAAAATGTTCCTGAAAGAGTTTTATAGACGTGTTATCTTGACCGAAGAAACAGAAGTCGCATTTAAATGAGAGAATAATCTGGTAGATAAGCTGTTGTGTTAGATAGCGCAGTAGACCGTATACAATATTAGTAAATAAGGGAGACTACAGGCTATAGTGATTGATAACGTAGTAGGAACATGTTATAATCGCACTTTTTCTTCATTTCTAACAAAATTTACATGTTTCGTAATACTTTAATTATCATTTGGCTAATCCAACGCGACATTGGATTTTGGTGTCTTTTTTTTCCGTCCCCTTGTAAAACAATCCGTACTTATTTAATTTTTTTTTTAATTTCAGTGATTATTTGTTTAGGCGTTTATCAACTCCTTATGGGTCATTTGATGTCGAAATTTAATTTTCTTGGTAATATAATTTGTTAGTGTTTTCTTTTACAAAAATGTATTGTTGGTAATAATTTTCTTTTAACAAAAATATATTGCTGGTAATATTTTAGTATAAAAATATACCCTAATAAGGGTAGGACCCGGATACAACAGTAAATTAGGAGGTAATTCCACGCTCCTCAAAGCCTCCTGATCAGAGATCTTGCTGCCCGATGTAGTTTATCATCAAACCCAGAAAGCTTTTCATTTATTATTTCACATCTTCGGCTTTTTCTTTTTACAGTTAATGTTTTCCTTTTCTTTTTACCTTCTTTTAAAACCTTTTCTGCCGTTTCTTTTCTGTCGACTCTAAGCATTGTATCATTCGCATATCTTACATTGCTAAGTTTGTAGAATTTCTATTTCTATAAAGGTTTTATTACCTCCAATTCTCTAAACATTGACTGTAAAGTCTGAATAATTCCGTTGAGAAGACACTTGTCTTATGCCCGATTCTATTCTTTTGGCTACTTACTTCATTTATTCTCTATCCATATGCAGCGGGATTGTTCCAAGTATAACGTCTGACTAATTCTATCATGTTGTATATCTTCTTTATTGTTTTCATATAATTTATTATACTATAGGCAACAGTCATCTCAACGTCAACTAAATTTTAAACATCTACAATAAATACAATTAATGGAACAACATACTCAAGATTTTATTGAAGAAGTTATTATTTGCACATAATTGACTGACTGTTCATTTAATCAAGCACACTATGGGTAAATAACAGGAGAGACCATGTTCTATAGCCTTGAATGACAATTGGTCTAATGCAGAAAGAAATGGCAACATGCTGCGGGAAAAAATCTGCCTTGGAACTTGGAGAGGTGAATTAATAGGAGAAAACTGATAACTGACATCCATCAAAAACATGGCACGTAGAACTAGAACAGTCTACCCCAGCGAGCGAAATAATCGGTTCAGTTCGACATTCCAACCAACTGAAGAAGTCCGGAGCGTACAACGGTCGAAACGTTGTGATAAATATGGCAACAAAGATAAGGACAATAGTCCGAATAATGTAAATAGTGAGCTTAGAGCTTGATTGAAATCACGGCGTTTAATTACAAATGAAAAGGACGTTATCTCTAATTATATCTACATCGCATGTATTTATGAGACAACCTTGTGTATACTATAACGGAGGAATCGGATATTTCATGATGTAAATGTGATCAATGCGCCGGGGGAATTGAGATTTTCTTGCTAAGTTTTCCTTCTTTTGTCATTTGAGTTCATTTTCGCTACTTCAGTGGTCCGGTGATTTGCAAGTGCATTAGAAGAAACTGTTATCATAGAACTTACGGTTTAATCCACCTTTTAAGCTGTAAAATATAACTTCCAACCAAGTTCGGCATTTCAATACGTAAAGTCGAGGTGCCAAAAAGGAAATCTAATAAAAAAACAATTACCATGAAAATATTTATAGAAAATACACAGGTAATCAACGTTGAGGCGGTGAAAAAGTAACAGAGGCTGATATGCCTGGTCAGGACCGATAACATTGCAGATTATTCATTACATTTTCTCAAGAATCTCTAAATCCATAGCAGAGGATCAGGTTGACGAATATTCAAGTGTCTAAGATAGATAAGCATATATTAAAGTGTCTTCGATTGCGCAGAAGAGTTTGTTGTTCGGTGTTTTGAATTGAGCATTTTACACTTGGTATAGAGATTAAACAAATATCTGATGCAAATCAGGAACACGTCATAAACGTGGAACTATAATAAATAATATGAAGGTACTTACCTGAAAAAAAAATGGAGATATAACTTGATAGCAAATATTCTTTTGTCTTTCCAATATTATGTTTCTCAGTTTGGTTTGTGATAGATGAAACTGCATGTGTGTGTCCCATGTGTTTTTTTCGTCCAGCATTCGAATCGATCGAAAAGCTGGAATTATCTTTACTAAATGATAATCAACAGATTTGTGCACTTTTAAAATAAGCATAAGGCAACGGTATTTATTTTGGTACTTATTTGTTTCATTTTAATCAGACGCAAGGTCAACCGTTTGGAGCATCCAAGGGGGACTGAATTTAATACACTGTCGTTATGGCTTTCTTAATAGACAAGAAAACCACGCGATTCTTATTTTATGGAGATATTTTCAATCCATTTTTTTCTGCATCTTGCCTTATCATTTGTTACCTATATTAGTGACTTACCGTACATTTCCTTCGTTTTATTTCCATTTTTCTTTCTTTCTTTCTTTCTTTCATTCTTGCTTACTTTCCTTCTTTCTTTTTTCTTTCTTTCTTTCTTTCATTCTTGCTTACTTTCCTTCTTTCTTTCTTTCTTTTTTCTTTCATACATGTGTCTTTTCTTTTCTAAACGCTTCTCTCTTTCTTTCACTTTAATTCAGAATTACTTTCTCATTAAGACATTTTCTTTTTTATTTTATGCATTTATTTAATATTGAATATTCTTTACAAATGCATTTAAAATTTTGATGATAAAATATAAAATACCTTTATCCACATATCTTCAGAAAATTTGTTCTTCGGTGTTGTGAATTGAGTATTTTGTGCTTTGTATAGAGGTTAAACAAATATTCGATGACAATCCACAATAAATCAGACGCATAGAACAAAAATAATTCATGTGAAGATACTTGATAAATAAACCAAGATATTGAGGATATAATTTAGGAGCAAATGTACTCTAATCTTTCCACTATCTTTGCAAAGTTATGTTTCTCAGTTTCACATAATATCAGTTATAGAACGAATTGTGAGGCTCGAACCTCCTCTTCCCTAACTTCTGAATTTTTCTTACGTATTTGCCTTTTTATTAAAATGTCACCCTTAAATTCTATTTCTTGTTAATAAAGAATTTTTTCTTTACTCGTTTTCTATATTCATATTTGCCTTTTCAGTAAAATGTCGTCCATAAATTCTGTTTCTTTTTCGTAATGAATGTTTTTTTCTTTACTCATTTTTTATATTCATATTTGCCTTTTTATTAATATGTCGACCTTAAATTCTATTTCTTGTTAATAATGAATTTTTTTCTTTACTCGTTTTCTATATTCATATTTGCCTTTTCAGTAAAATGTCGCCCTTAAATTCTATTTTTTGTATTAAAGAATTTTTTCTTTACTCATTTTCTATATTCATATTTGCCTTTTCAGTAAAATGTCGCCCTTAAATTCCATTTCTTGTTAATAATGAATTTTTTTCTTTACTCATTTTCTATATTCATATTTGCCTTTTCAGTAAAATGTCTCCCTTAAATTCCATTTCTTGTTAATAATGAATTTTTTTTCTTTACTCATTTTCTATATTCATATTTGCCTTTTTAGTAAAACGACGCCTTTAAATTCTTTTTCTTGTTCTTAATGAAGTTTTTATTTATTCATTTCTATATTCATATTTGTTTTTTCATTAACGTGTCGCCCTTAAATTCTATTTTTTGTTCGCAATGTTTTTTTTTTATTTATTTATTTTCTCTATTCTTTCATACTTTTCATTTGTCTATCTTTTATATCATTCCTTCGGACATTTTCTTTTAGAATTATAACTTCTAAATTTTCCTTCTTTTAGTTTACTTTTTATTTCACTTTACAAGTAAATTTTATCATTAACACTTTACTTTTATTTGTTTGGTTTTCTGTCTTTCTTTCTTAATATTATTCATCATGTTTTCATTCTTCATATAATTTAATTATCATTTCTGTATTTGTTTTTTTTTTCTTCATTTCTAATGTATTTGATCAATTATATCAATCTTTTTGCATTCCATTCTTGCTTTCTTAAAACGTGAAGAATTTAATTCCTTCCTTCCTTTTTCACTTCCTTTCTTTCTAGCTTCCTTCTTTGTTTCATTATTTCGTTCTTTCTTATTTTTTCAGTATATTTTATCAATCATTTCTGTATTATTTTTTCTTTTTTATATAAACCATTTCTTTCTTTTTTGATTTTTTCTAATTAACACATTTTTTTTACAGTTTATATACTTTCTTTCTTTTTCTTTCTTTTTCTTTCCTTTTGCTTTCTTCATTTCTTTCTTTCTTTTTTCTTTTCATTCTTTCTCTCAGTAATTTTTCACCTATATTCTTTATTTCTTTCGCAATTATTTTTCACACTGAAGGTAAATGTTGTAATATTGTTCATTCTCTTTCTTTCATTCTTTGCTATTTTCCTTCTTTCTTTTTCTCCCTTTCAAACATGTCTTTCCGCTTTTCATAGTATCTCATTGATAATGCGGAGATTTACAACGATACAAAGCAGATATGAAAAACATCCTTACGTCGGCAAATACGAGAAGTTTTTGAAAAAAAAAATGAATAAAAAAAAGAAAGAAAAACACTTTAGGAAAGAACACATTGAATTTTGTCACTCTTCGCAGTCATGTTGCTTTCCTTCAGACGAAACTTTTGATTTTCATTCGTTGGTTTCGGCGTCGCTTTGCACACCGTCAAACAAACAAATAAATATAAAGCAATCCAAAAAAGAGACTTAGACGTCTTCGCTCTCATCTCTCGGGAAATCGTTATTTGATATCCTGAAAAATGGAATAGAAATAAATAAAAATATTTTAAAAATAATTTTTTTCTTTTTTTTGCTTGTTTGTTACCTCTTTTGTTAAAGACGTGTTCTCCCATGATTCACTGTTCTTTTCAAACTCGCTTGGATTTTTGTATTTTTTGTGTATTTTTAATTTCCTCCCTTCACTCTTTCCCTTCGCCGCACGATCAATTTCTTCGTCTTTTATCAAAGTTCGCATTTCTTTAGTATTTCTGCGCTGATGCATCTTGAGACTAACCGATACGTTCAGTTCTACGCCTTTTGTTGTATCATTTGAAGGATTCGATTCAATATTTAAAGAACTGATTTATTGAACGGCGCACACACATATATTGTGAATTTACACAGAATTATTTCATTAATACTTCCCGGCTAAAAAAAAAAAAAATAACAGACAACGTCTGTTTTATTGGGTCCCAGTTTTCCTACCTCCACACGGTTGATCAAAATTCAGTAAAGAATGAAATGAAACAATTTTGTATGATATATCAAAGCGCTTTCGGCTATTCATTTGACCATTTTCTTGTTTAATTAACATATTTTCGCTATTAATTACAATTGATTGATTGAGTCGATTTCCAGGGTCTATCAAGCTTTTAGAGGTTATTTAAAGACATGAAATCGTTTTTAGATTGTAAGAATTTATTTTTGGAGTTAAAAAATGTTTAGTGATGCAAATCTTAAAAATTAATCCATAGCTGTGAGAAGAGGTGGATTCATACCTTTCACAAGGATATTTGTGCATAAATGAATATAAAGATCCCAACTGAAATTGAAACCCGGCTCTCCGATTTAAAATCGCAAGCCATTTTACAGTACACCACCGCACATCCAAATTGGTATCCCCAAGTGATACATCTAGGTACTCACCAGACACGAATTGTTTAATTTTGGTGATCGTACGTGAACCGTTGTTTCGACGTGATATATCCGTAAGCTTTATTTATTTAGAGAATATCAGTTACAGGACTAATTATGAGGATCGAAATCCTTATTTATTTTACGTCATAAAGAAATGTTTGAATTACTAATTAAATTTGATATATTTTTGAAAGATATCACAACACACTAGAATCTTTAATGGCGACAAACCGCTTGCACACGGAATGCATATGAATTCATTAATTAGAGAAAAAAAATAGAAAGGCGTATAAGACAAGGATGTGTCTTTTCACCAGACTTATCCAAACTATAGAGTTAGGCGATTTTCTGAGAATTATCAGTATTCATTTTTGGCAGAAACACTACTATAGGCATAAGAAATACAGATGACACAGTTTTAACAGCAGACGTAGAAAGGAAGCTATAAGAACACTTATATATGATCTAACAATTTGAAGATGATGTAACTAGGGGAGCAAATCTTAAACAGTGATTTTATTTAGACATCTCGAGTTTTACGGAGATTTAAAGCCATTAGTCTTAGAATTTCTAGCGGAGTTTACTACTAGTGCCCACAACTTTAACTCCGTAACATCTCAAATAACACAGAAAGAAAGAACGCAGAAAGAAAACTACAAGAACGCCTACGGAAGTTTCCATAACGAAACAGCTTTTGTAAAGAAGCTGTCCATTTGAAACTTACTCCTTACTAATGGAATACGAAAGAAATGAATATAAGCCGTGTGGCGGGTCATAACTCTGAAGGGTTAGAGTTAGGGGAACTAAGGAATGTAGATCCTTTGAAATTTTTCAATCGGAATAACGGTAGAGAATTTAGCAAACTCTCTTCTGCGGGAAAGGGATTATAATGTGGAAAACAATTAGTCACCCGCGAGGCCAGGTAGACGCATGTGGCCACTGTCAAGCCGGAAAAGGGGAGACCCAGATATTGCAGTACTATACGATAACAGCGTTTGAATGAATATTGCCTCGAAACGGTGAACCTTGTTTTACAGGTGAGATATTTCCTCAGGAAGGCATGTCAGAAACACAGTACAAAAGCGGCAGTTGGAAGCCGAACCAAAAACGCAGTTTTTCCTCCTTATCCAACTATGATTTTACCTATTTGTATCTACCCACGACTGTTAGAACTCGCAGAGCTGTAATAAGAGAAGAATTCTTAATATACTCACATTCACGAGATCTGCATACGCAATGTGAAAAAGAAAGCGCGTGAAGAAGTTTGCGAGATATTTGCTTTGGATTCTGGCAAGTTATGATGTATTAGTGACATTGTTGAACGCCAGAATGGAGATGTGTAGAGTGAGTGTCCATGGTTAAATATAAATAAATGCTTAACAGAAGGGACAAAATTTGTATTAGGTTGGTGCAAAAATAATGACGTAAGAATGTCGTTTTTTGACGTTAAAATTACGTCAAAAAACGACATTATTACGTTATTATTTCTGCACCAACCTAATAATAAGCAATAACAAGAAAAATAAAAGAACATAGCAAAAAATACTAAAAAGCAAGCAAAAAATATATGCAAGACAAATAAACAGTCGTAAAGCATAGCAACAGCAATAACGCAAATATTCCACAAACTAAAAATTAGGGTTATCATACAGGAGAAAATTCGGATAAGCGAACATTTTCTTCTGACTTCAAGACAAGACAGACAGGGTCTATTTTATTGGCCAGGAAAACATCCCAGCATGCATTTGTTTGCTTCTAATAAGGGTGATACGTGTGGTATCCTCGTGTTTTGGAAACGATATCGCTGAAAGATTTTTTTCTAGCTACCTGATTGAGCGTCGTTCGTACTGTGTTACGGATTTCATGAAATCTTTTAAGAACACAGGGTCACTTACAAAAAAATTATTGAATTCAGTCTCGAATCTGTTATTAACATAGGCAAAAAACAGTTTGTCAATTTTAAGGAAACCCAAAAGAAAGCTACTCTCATTTAATCATCTGAGAAAACCTTTTTTGCTGTCCTTCAACACGGCTGATGCTAATCCCCAGTTTAAGAAATCATTGCGTTTTCTTGAGGTAACTTACTTGAAGTGGAAATTTTATATTGAATCAATTGCTAAACCTGTCGATAAGTATGTTGGTTCACTGTGTCATGTTAAACAAGTTTTTGACTCATATACAGTGTAACCCGGATATAAGAGACCCGGATATAAGAGAAACACGGATATAAGAGAGATTTTATCTGGTCCCAAATAAGAGCCTGTGTTACCTAAACAAAATAGACTAAACCCGTATATAAGAAAAACACGGATATAAGAGACTTCGTCTCCGGTGCCGAATACTCTCTTATATCCGGGTTACATTGTACAGTGTAACCAGGATATAAGAGACCCGGATATAAGAGAAACCCGGATATAAGAGAGATTTTCTCTGGTCCCAAATTAGAGCCCATACTTACCTAAACAAAATAGACCAAACCCGGATATAAGAGAAACCAGGATATAAGATACTTCTTCTCCGGTCCCGACAACTCTCTTATATCCGGGTTACACTGTAATTATATCCTGAAACATTTGCCAATATTGATTGTTTAATACTAATTTTATTGTTGGAACATCGATTTGCCTAATGAAATATGACGTAATTAATTAAATCAATGGTTAAATGAATGCTCATGGATAGCCATGATACAAATCCATATCGACGGCTTTCTCACACCTTGGTTGACCATCACCACGTCCTATTTCTGGCCATACTGGGCGATGTGGGGCCGAGGTATTGGGTCAGTTCGGCGTTCATACATGCCTCTAATCATCCACTCCTTGTCTCTGAGACGAGACACGTGACCAGCCTATCTATTTAAAGCCACGGTATTAGCAGATAAAGTAATAAAATAATAATTGTTTCTTGTAAATAATATATTACGTTAAATAAATGTCACGGAAGCATTTAATTATCAATAATATTTTCAGTTTCACTTAGTTTATTTCAAAATAAAACCAGTGACCTACGAATCGAACGCAATATATCTGAACCTATTATAGATATATATTGTAAACCGAAAGTGAAACAATATTTGACTCATATGAATATATCCTGAAACATTTTCTAGTATTCATTGTTTTATACTAATTTTATTGTGGAAACATCGACTTGACTAATGAAATATGACGTAATTAATAAAAATCAATGGTTACATAAATGGTCAAGGATAGCCAAATACAAATCCATATCGACGGTTTTCTCACTCCTTGTATGACCTTCACCATGTCCAATTTCTGGCCATACTGGGCTATGTTAGGCCGAGATATTGGATCAGTTCGTCGCCCAAATTTGTCTCTAATCGACCAGTATTTGTCTCTGAAACGAGACACGTGACCAGCCTATCTATTTAAAGACACGGTATTAGCAGATAAAGTAATAAAATATTAATTGTTTCTTGTAAATGATGTATTGCGTTATAGAAATATATGTTGCTCTGGTCTATATGTTTGGAATTATTTATCAATAAACATTTCGGTTTTACTTAGGTTATTGTAAAATAAAACCAGTGACCTACGAATCGAACATGTTACCACTGCTCTTAATATAGATATCTCCCCAAGGACTCATGGCCCAGTAGATAAAAGTATCCCAAAATGTGACATGACAAAATGTGACTTTTGAGTTCAGTATCTGGCTACAGCAAAGGTGAACCCAAATTTGGAAACATGAGTTAGCAAAAGGAAATAACTGAAACTGATTAATCCAGAAAAGGCATGCCACGTGGAAATAGAACAATCGAGTACCGGGGACTCAAT